ATATATATATATATAAATAAATGGTCGAGACACATAGATTGATCCACGTTTGCAAATGGGGAGGAAAATGCTCCCACTAACCTTTTGATGTTGAATTATATCATACAGATATTACAATAAAATTCCTTCGTTTACCATACTAAAAACAAAGTGCTGGTTGCTGATTTTTTTTTCTTTTTTTTTTTGTAAAAAAAAGTGAATTAATATATTAACCTTTTTAATTGTTTCTTATAATAATGATATGTATAAATATATTAATTATGGTTAAGTCAATAAAGGGGTGATTAATATTCAAGCACATAATATATAATTCATGTTGTAAGTTTAAGTAAGAATATTATTTTCACTGTTTAAAATTTTTTGATTTGTCATTGTTGGGAGGGGAGAAATCCACTAAAGGAGACTAGTCAGGTCTTTTGACAAAAATTATTCACAGACAAAGTTGGTGATTATTTTATATTAATAATATGATTATCAAAAGATGTAAAAGTTATACTTTTATATATGTAGTCACTTAATTATTAATCATTTTATACTAACACAATGTTGTGACAAGGCACTTTTAGATAGAGTAACTAATACATCGATGAAAACATTTTGTACTTGTCTAAGGGTATTTCAATAATCTTCTCTTTGTTTGACTTTCTTCCAATTCTTTCAAAAAGAACTTGATCTCTTAACTCCAAGGTAAATGGGGAGGTACATGCAAAAAAAAAATTTGACACCCAAGTAAAATCTTGGGTTCAGAGCATGAATTGTGCAATAAATGCGTGTTCACAATAGTTTTAACCTTATTTTATATTATTATTTATACTAATTTTATTGGGTCTGAACTTTTTTAATGGGCCTAAGTTTTTAGAGCCTTCACTTATTGCATAGATGACATTGTATGGTGTAGGCTCATTATATATATACCTCCTTTTTTTTTTAATAACTACACTTGGTGCATGATTTTATAATTTTAACTGAGGTTGATTTTTTTTTTTTTAATTATGATCTAGTTAAAATGCTGATAACATTTATTACTAAGAAATTAGGATAAACTTTCTCAGTCGACTTTTGATCTTTGACCTTAATGTAGGATTATTTAACAAAAATTATCAAGGAATTGTGGTTTCTCTTAAACAACCTTTAATTTATCATCTAAGGAATTAGAGTTAAAATATAAGTGTGGACTATTGAATTAATTGTATAATTATTTTATTGAATGAAAATTGCGGAGAATTTATATAGGAAAGATTAGCGAAATCAATCTTTAGTTGCTCTTATCATTATCTAAATTCAAATTCTTAATTTCTTTGTTACATGCTTTTTTATAAATTTTCATATTACAATTTAAACAACTTTTAAATTTCTTTTATATATGTTTAGTTCTAGAACTATACTAAACAATTATAAACTCAAGTCTCTATAGATTCTATAGCTTGGACTTCTATCCTCTTCACTACCTATGACAATTGGTATACTAGTCAAATGTGTATTAGGAAGTTTCATCACTATTTATTCTTCATATTCTTTATTCTAAGATCGTAATTTGAGTTTTAATTAAAAAATATTTTCAACAATGTCCTCCTCATTGTTTTTCAATCTTTGCTCATAAGTTTCAAGATAACCCATTAGTTATATTACTAATATGGTAGACAAATCGTTGGTTAGTTCAATCATAGTTGTGATTGCATCATATTTATATGAAATAGAAATTAGAATTTTCTCAACAATATTTTTGTCAAGAATATATTTCTCATACGCTTTCATTTGACTAACTATTTCCTTTATTTTAGAATAATAGTCTTTTACGATCTCAACTTGTTTCATTTTTATTATCTCAAACTTACATCTAAGAACTTAAAGTTTAACATTACATACCTTCTCATATCCTTGAAAACTCCTCTTGTAACATATATCTCATGTTTCATTTGCACTCATGACACCTATTATTAATTATTGAAATATTGTGTCAGTAATTTCTTTTTAAAGAATAAATAATGCACTTGAATCTTTCTATTTATTTTTCTTAAACCCCTTCCTCTGAGTTGTAGTAAAAGATTTAATGTCTTCTGAAATAGTAAATCCATCTTTCACAATATTTCATAAAATTATGAGAGAATAAAAGAATAATTTTCTCCGATAAAAATAAAGACCTAAATATATGATTGTTAGTTGCTAGGGACAATAAGTTAAAAAAGTATTTTAAAAATAGTATTAAATATAGTTGAATATTTTAGTAATTAAAAAGTATATCTATCCTTATATAGATGAGTACATATAACTTTAATATCATTGATAGATTTTATAATAAGGAGACGGTGGAATTAAATCATTTAATTGGTAGCAGTAGAAGTTTAGTTGTAGGAATTGATTTTAAAATTAAAGGAGGTAAATGCTACTTGCTTTTAGGAGGAAGCTGATTTTATTGATCCGTTGTAGTGATATGGCAATTTAATGGATACAGATCCTCTGCGGTTTAAAAAAAACCGTGTGCAGTTCAATCTTCCACCGTGAATTATTTTTATATTTTATTTTTTCATTAATAATGTATTTAAATAAAAATATAAATCAATGGTTAAGATTCATGCAGTTCAATTTTAAGCTACCGAGGATCTTAATCCACAATTTGATACATAATGACCTATTTATATGCTCCCTACACAGCCTTTTACCAATGAGGAGGATTGAAAATTTTTATTTGAAAATCTCTAGTTGGCATTTAATTCTTTTATACAATTGACTATTCTAGCCTTTTCTTTTTTCTAAATTACTCATGACAATATTTATTCTAACATTTTCTAAAATATTCCTAAATTTGCATTATGTTCCGACAGTTTGTCAATAACAAAGTGCATGTTTGATTTATTTCCTCGCAAATGTGATTCCATGATAACTGCTTAAATTTGCCTTCATGATGAAAAAGATAAATGCCTGAATCAAAGTCCAAGCTCTGATAACCATAAAACAAATATACGGGTGTTGAAAAAATGGGTCACATATTCCCAGAACACAATCTGTAAATTTATTTAAAATTGAACTAAGAAATACAATAAAGAGTTTCTGGTTTATAGACGAATTACAATGTTGAAAATAAGAAACTAATCACCTAGATTTTGGCTAAATTTAAATGACAGAAGATTCTCCTAAGTTGCAAAACTAACTGAATCAAAGAAATACTAACTAATTCAAATATTAAGCAACATACTCTATAACACACTTTTCTTAACATATTCATTTATATTAGTCATAATTTATTGAAAAGTATAAAATTAAGATAGTGGGTCATTCAATAAATTTCATCTAATAAAAAAGAATGTGTTCAAAAAAGTGTAATAAAAAATGTGTTTCTGACTGTTAAAATATTAGACATAGACATACCATATGCATAAACTTTCCTACTGTGGCAAGCGATATATTTGTCACACACAACAGTTTCCATTAAACTTGTTAGTATGATTCCCATCCAGGTTGTTGCACATTAAACTTGGACGTCTGCATGGCAAAATTTGACGTTGATTCAAACCATCCAAACTTTTGTATGAGTTTCTTGACAAGGTCACCAACTATGTAAGCAAGCACTGAGGCCACAGCAGCAGTGCTGACATAATAAAGTACTGTTTTGAAGTATGTGAGATAGGTTTTTGGTCTCTTAATATATGCTTTGGCAATGGAAAGCAAAGTTATGCAAATCAGAGAAGCTCCAGCAGCAGCAGCTAGCCTCAAATCCTTCTCAGTTCTCATCTCTCTCATCAAACGAAAATCCATATACCACTGGAGCCACTAATCCAAAAATAATGAATGAAAATATTGCAATAAATGCATGAAGGGTGAAATTCTTCCTCGGGCCCAGTAACTCATTGTATTGATCCACTGCTGCATCTGTGTCATTCTCAGCTCTTTTAGGTTCTTCAGATATCATTTCATTAAGCTGAAATGTATGCATGTATTAGCTTCAAGTGCCAGAAATTACTAATAATGTTAAATAATATATTATTCTATGGGAAATTGGGCATGTGAAATCATTTAGCATGGAATTAAATAATTTGAAGACATAACTCACATTATGAGCAAGTACGAAAAGTCCACCAATCAGGTTTGCAATAGCCAGTGCCACAATGTTCACTGTAAAATAACGAAACTGTCACTAAAATTCCAAGGTTAATTCCGAAAACTTATGCATCTATTCTTTTCCCTCCGGCCACCTTAATAATGATGTTAATTGCGTGATACATAACGATAAACTTTTTTGTATACATATCTTTCAGTGTGAAAATTAATGAAAATTATGTGTCTCTATATTCTCTTCTTAAAGTCTTCATCCACTTTATAAAAAATTAAGAATACACACTACTAGATTTTAATCTTTTAGCAACATTTTCTTGTTTACATTTGTTAAAATGTTACTATATATTAAATAAATATTATTTTGTAACACTTTTTTGAAAAATGTCATTATAGGTAGAGTAACATTTTTTATTTCAATATTATTCTTTCTAATTGTTTTCAAAATCAAAGTCTCATATCGAGTAAAATTTTTTTACATAAGTTATTTTGCAACATTTTTTTTGAAAAATGTTACTATAATTGCTTCTAAAATCAAAGTTCCACATCGAGTAAAAAAAAGTATATTTCTCTTATATCTAATTATAACTCATAATTAAAGTCTCACATCGAATAGATTAATGACTTATAAAGAGTATATATACTCATATAGTTATATTTAAGATAAATGAAATTTGTCTTAGAAGTTTAGGAAATATAAAAATATAATAATTGATAGTAATATTTAAATTAAAATTAATTTTTATTTTATAAGATTAACAAAATATTGGTACCATCATTAAAATGTTACAAAAAATTATTAAAATGTTACAAAAATACTACTTTGGTAACATTTAAAAAATGTTACCTAATTATGCAAAAATGTTATTAAAAGTCTTTAGCAACATGCACTATATACAACATTTGATAATATGTTGCTAAAACAAATTAGCAACATTTATACATAATTAAGTAACATTTTTCAAATGTTGCTAAATACCATTTGTGTTGTAGTGTACAGGATATTAATTTATGATTATACTCTATTTTTTTTACGTTATATAGTTTTGTAAAACTTTGAGTTAAATCTCATTTGCTTGTATGACTTTTATTGGATATCACATGTCAACTAGAGATAAAATCGTAATAATGTATATAAGTAGAGAATAATTTTTATCTAATAAGTTAGTATTGTATATTTGAGTTAGGTCCAAATTTATTTTTTAATATAATATCATAATTATCTAGATCCACTCTTAAAAGGTCATATACCTAGGAATGATAAAAAAATTTGTGCCAACAAATATTTATGGATAAAATCCACAACAGATAATAAATGAATACTTAAATGGATACATGTTGACAACTTAAATAGATATATATCCGTTAATAAATGAAAACACAATGAATATCAAGGTACTTGCTCTGGCTACGCGGATACTCACTAAATACTTATAATAATAAAATTATTTAAATTTCTTTGTTAAAATATGTATCATGTACTAAGTAAAAATATGATATTACTTAAATTTCTTTGTTAAAATTATATCATGTGCGAAGTAAAAATATGATATTACTTAAATTTATTTTATTTAAACTTGTGAAATTAAAATATTATAATTTTTTATCTCTTATGTTGGACTTGTGGAATTGAATTATTTTATTTTATTAAATTTGTTTAAATTTATAAGAATGAAGTAATTTAAAAATTAAACTTAGTTTTTAAATTGAAGAATCTTGATTAATAAAATTATCTACAATATTTGAATATTTTAAATTTTAAATTTTAGAATGTTATTTTTAAAGAAATCATTAGAATGAATAGAATTATTATTAAAATATTTTAGGCTTTATTAAAATGTTTTAAAGAAAATGTTAGAATAGATAAAAATTATTATTAAAATATTTTTTTAAAAAATAAATATCCACATATATGCATGGATATTGAAAAATATATGCAAATATTCACTTAATAAATACTCGCACGAATATGGAGACAAGTATGAAATAAATATTTATCCCACCAAGTAGATAGTGGGGCTACTACTTGTACGCGTCTTGTCCCACCGTATTGACATCCTTACATGATGGTAGAGGTATAACTAAGGGACCCACTACTAGTTAGGGTCGTAACTAGGAAGATTCAAGAGAATTGAACTTGTGTTGAGGTTAATGCATATAAGCTCTTTTTGAGTTGGGTTATTACTTAAAATCCAATACTTTTCTTTATTTTGGACTTTATATTATAGGCCTTATAATATTGGACTTTGGGCCTTGATTGGACTTGTATTTTTGGGCCTTATAAGGTATTGATTTTTGAGTCTTGTATTTTTTGGGTCAAGTAGAATAGATTTTTTTTTTTGTTTTTAATAGACTTTAGGAGTTAAATTTTTTATTTGGGCGATGGATACACATTTGAATTTGAATTGAGGCCATTTGGCCGATCAAGTGGCTAAGCACACATGGACTACCAAATTCAAATCCAAATGTGTCTCACATGGCATGCAAATGAACAATTCAAACTCCTTAAATCTAGTTGCACATGGGTGCATTGGTTCACACACCAAATTTGAATTTTTGAATTCAAATTGGCATGCTAAACCATGCTAGTTAGGAGGTCATGGTTCATTCTTGACCTTTGGTTAGCCTAACTTCTCCTAGAAGTTATCTAGATCTATTTAAGGTACTTAGTTTGTGTAGTTCAACCACTTTTTGAGTTTATGAACATTCTATTTTTCAGAATTCTCTCTTTTCTCTTTCAAGAGTCTCATTGAAAAATCATTCTTCTTAAGCACTTGCATTTGTTTGCTTCTCCTTCTTTAAGAGACTTGACGCGCCAATTCACACCTTCTTCCATCAATTCTATTTAATTAAAGTCTTTCGAGTTCATAAAGGAAGGATCAAGTGGATTCAAGGAGTTACAATATAAGATTTGTTTGTCATTCTTCATTGAAGGTTCCATTACTACACCCACCATTGATTTATCTACCATACTCAATAATGTTATATGTGAGGGAGTATATTAATAAAAATTTAAGTCTTATATTAATTAAAGATAAAACAATTAAAAAAAATATTTAAGTGAAAAATAAATTTCATTTTATTAGTCAGTTTTGTAAAATTAAAATAGATTGAAATCTACATTTAAAACCCTTAATCCTCTTGTGACCAAAATAATATAATTCAATATTAAAAAAAAAAACTAACTGATTTTCAAGTATTATATAAAAGAGAAAAAGAAGAATGGAATGAAAGTAAATTGTGCAACATACATGTGGTAGCGTCAGCACTCGCTGCAGATGTCACAACACTAAGACTTGCCAACGATTCAAGCAAACCACCGTACACAATGCTTTTAAGAATCTCCAATGTCTTACTACTTGCTGTTACAGTTGTCGTAATAAGTGCTGTGCTTTCAGTAGTAACAACTTCTGCTGCTGCTCCTGCTCCTGCTCCTGCCCAACAAATGTACCACATCATTCATTTCAACAGATTACATGATTTACGTTCATAGCTCTGCCAGAATATATTGGATGTTTTTGTGCCATATTCTCCTATGATTCATCTCTGAAATCAAGCACAATTAACTATCGTGAGGATAAAGACTAAACTAGATTAATTTAATTTTTTTAGGATAAAATATGCTTTAGGAAAATATTTAATCAAAAATCATTTAGTCTCTAAATTCTAAACCTAGGAATTTCGAAATTCATATTTTTAAAATAGTAAAAAAAATTATGTATAGAATATAAAATAATTTTATATTATTATTTAATAAAAATTATTGTATATGATGAGTTTGTTGATTTTTACGATAATTATTTTAAAAATTATAGGAATAATGACTTTTATTAGTTGATAGAGTAAAAATTTTGACATCAATAATAAGTAACCAATAAACCATATAAAATATAACTCTAATCTTATTTTAATTTAACTTTGAGAATAAACCTATCTATCTTATTTTAGGAAAAAAAAAATATTAGAAACATCGTGTTAAAATAAAGGCACTAAAATTAGTTTTCATCAAAATGATGATGAATCTAAAATCATTTATCCTTCTTTTTATCGACCCATAAGTTGAATTCAGTTTATAGCGATCATATTTTCAGTACATGACTATAATATGTGGTACTTGCCTGTGTCAACTTCATCGATTTTAACCTCAACATGCTCATCTTGTTTCTCATCAAGAATTTGAATATCAGGTTGCTTGGGTATAGTGATAACTCTCCAATCACTCTTTTCTGAAGAGTCAGTTTTATCTTCCACTTCGGTGGCTACATTTTGTGGTTCTAGGCCTGGTAGGGCCTCTTTTTCAGTGGCCTGAAGACTTTGTTTCCCTTTGTCATCTGCAATTTTAATGGCTGATTTTGAGGTACCTATGGCAACAGATTGATTAATTTTCAAATAAAACCATGGCATACATGTGAAATCGTGGGTGCTTCCATTTAGAAAAAGAAATCCATGTGTCATTATTTCATTTGAAAGCATGACAAGAATGCAACAAAACTTGATCTAAGTTGGTTAGTGGAAACTGTCCTGAAAATATAGATAAATTTTGAACTACTATGTTTACCATAAATCATTAAAAAAAAAAAAAAAAACTTGATTTAAGTTTTGTCCCTAATCAAATAGACTCAATAATTACCTTGATCTTTAGATGCGTCACTTTCATCAGATGCCAACCCTGAGAAAAACCAGCTACCTGTTCAAACCAAAGAAGAATTCAGAGTTCAGGTGATTTGTAATATCATAGATGAACAAATAAAGGACTAAAATAAAGTAGTAAAAGTACCTATTGGAATGAGGAAAGTGAAGCAAGATGAGCATCTTATTTGCTCAATTGGTTGCAGGGGTTGAATTGGAGCATTAATTTGTTCCCATTCACCCTTTTGAATGTAGACCTTTTGGATACAAGATTTGCAATTGGGACAGTAGAATCCATGTGTTGGAGGTATCTCAAATACCCTTTCCAAATATAATTCTTGCCTTTCCTTATTTTCTTTCATTGTGCCAACTGTTACAATTTCAGACGTCACATTTTTCGAAGTAGAATACTGAGGAAGAGGAAGATCATCAGAAGCTGGTAAAATTGTGATATTCTCTGTTTCCTCATGTTTTAGGATCGTTTCAGTATACACCTCTGTTCTGATAATGTCAAATTTCTCTTTGGTCTCGGATTCATCGAACTCTATACCTCCACCTTTCAGTCCAGAAAATCCGTTGACATAGTCAATAACAGAACTCACCAATTCGCAAAACATTTAATTTAAGTGTCTCATAAATTTAACCTACTTTAAATCAAGTAGCTCACTTTTGGTTTTACATTTATTTCCACACTAAAGTAGACAAATTCCACTATTTGATATTTATCACTATTATACAAAGAATTAATTTCATAGTTCTGAATTTCAGCTAGGTTCGACAGAAATAATAATAAAAATATTAAATAAAGTGTTAGAACACAATAAGGGTTAAACACCTAAAAAAGTTTATAATAAACTAAGAACAAATCACACAAGTAAATTTAATAATATATCATAATTTAAAATCTTAAGATATCAAATTTATGAATCATTCTCACTTATGAATTTTAACACAATCAACTTTATTTAATGTGAGAGTCTTATTCGCACTTGTACACCAACATAACATGAAGTGATTAATGTATTATTAGTTATGAATCATTTTCTTGTTCCATTTATTAAGGCATTTTATCCTTGGCTCCGAGAAATGTAACATTAAACAATTAGTATTATAAATTTATAATGAAGGAATTGTGGATAAATTTTTTATTTTTCTTAGGTGAATGACATTAAACATTCTAACAATCATCAAATTTTAATAGTCGGTCTTAATTAGGAGTGTTTAAAACTGAATCAACTAAAACGAAAAATCATAAACCAATCTAAAAAACTGAAAATCAATGAAAAATTGTATATTAGCGGTTTGGTTCAATCTTTAAATTTTCAAAATCATGTGATTTGGTTTAGTTTTCGATTTAGAATGTGAAACTACTTTAAACCAAACCATACTTATTTGTAAAAAAAAAAAAAAAATTGAATGCATATTACATCTATACAGAATTGACACAACATAAAAGTTAGTCTATAAAATTTTAAGCCACTAAAAGGTATTTCTCTCCAAATATACAAAATAATATTTAAAAGGAATTAGCTACTATAAGAATTTTAGAAAGAAAAGGTATGAATTGTTTATAAATTTAAAAATAATATTTTTTAAGAGACAAACTATATATGTGAGAAAAATATTTAATATGATAATTAAAATTGTATTAAAGAAATATTTTTACTAAAATAATAAGATAAGATTTATTGTCAAATATATAAAGTAATCAAAATATTTTAGTATTTGTATACTTTTAGTTTTATTTTTGACGAACAGTCTTAAACAACTAACATAATATTATATATTTTTAGTTGATTTTAAAATAAAAAATTAAAACTTGCAAAAATCGAATCAATTCAAATCAAACTACTAATGCATTCAAATTGAACCAAATCGAACCGTACTTAATTTTCTTGTTTGATTTGAGTGATTGTTAAGACAAAAATTGAATCAAATTGTACTATGAACACCCCTAATCTCAACCATTAAGTTGAAATAAATGTTTGAGATAAAAAGACTCAATAAAATTATAACCACAACAATTATTATTATTATTATTTATATTATTACTATTATTATTATTATTATTATTATTATCATTATTATTATTATTATTTTTACATTTATTATTATTGATAATGATAACAATAATAACAACAGTTGTAACAAAATACTGATAGTAACAACTACCGTGTTAATAATATGGACAGTAATAAAACAAAGATAAAAATGGATACAAGTGTTGACGGTGACCGCAATAACAAGAATAGTAATTATAATAAGGAGGATTTTGGCAGCAAGGACACAAGCAACAAAGATAGAAATGTGTATGGTTTGGTTTAGGCAGAGTAACAAATGCTGAAGAGGCAAGGAACCACCATGGAAGCTATATACTTGTAAAGTGTGGATAAGCTTTTCTCTTCAAATGTAGCTGAGAACTTTTCATAGAAAATAATAACAATCATATCATTATGAGTCCACGTCTTGTAAAACAAAAAATAAAACAAAATGAACCCACATCTTCTATTAATTTTTCCGTTAAGATAGATAATATAATACTGATATGTGTATTTAATTTCTACTTTTAATACCTGCCTTTTGTTTTCGAAATGCAATTAAGGTCGTGGGAAAACATATTATTAAACATTGATAAAAATAAAATAAAAAATTATAGTGGAGCTTAAAAAAGCATTTATAGCGTGTATATGAAAAAAAATGCCCTAAATATTTAGTTAGCTATAGTATGTTTACCTTTAACTTGAATGTCCTCATTTGAATTGCTAGCACTGGCGTTAGTGCTACTGAGCTGGAGATGCCTCCTTCTTTGCAAGCCCACTTCTTCAACCTCATTCTCTGCTTCATTTGATGGAGTTAATGTAACTTCCATTTTCCTATGGCACTCTTATTTGTACCCTTGATTCAATTCACTGCTAACTCAATGAAATGAAAAGCAAGAACATAATTTATAATGGGGTATGCACAGACACAGTTGACTAATAGTGTATGTATAGGTCACATTTGAAAAATAGAAATGCAGGTAATGAATGGCATGCAGTGTAGGTGTGAGATTTCGTTGTGGTGGGAAAACTCACATTTCATTTCAAATTCAATTCAATACTCAACATTTCATCACATGGTAGAATGTTGACCATTAAATTTGAAATCTATGGCCAAGATTCACTGAAAGCCACGAACTTTTACTGTCTCAAAATAAAACGGTCCAATCCAATCTTGTTCTGTTCCAACTAAGTGTCAACTGCTGACGGTCTCACACTACAAACAAAAATAAAGAAAATGACAAACAGACAAGTTCTTCCGGTAATTATGAATAAATATTTTCCTCTTTTCGTGTCTATGTTTTATAGTTTTGAAGGTATAAATGATATTAAATATTTATAATGAAAGATATTTGTCTTTATACATTTAAATCTGATGGATTCTTAGGTGGACTACTAATATTGGTGGTGCAGTGCAACATGTACTATAGTTAATAATGACCTTTAGATTAATCTCAAGTTCCTATTATTGTCATTCACCTTTTGTTATGAAAAACTATTAGATAATTCATGATTTTGAAGTGTTCATAATCCTAATCAATCGCTATATAACATATATTTAAATTTTTCAGTTGAGAGAAAAAGTTAATGACACTTGATTACCTAGAGATTCATTAGAGATTATATTCAAGATTACCTAATAATCTCTCATTCACTGCCACTCACCTCCATACTGTGAAACATCTTGGCTTCTTAAAATAAGCCCATCAACAATTATCAGCATGATACAACATTCACAATTCACACAAATATAATAGACATGAATTTCACTAATCTATATACATGTGACACCAATAAAAACATATTAACATTGCTTGAAAGTTCACATAGATACTAGCACTCGATGTTGTATTAAGTTTAAGACATTTGTAAAAATATGTAAAATCACACGAGGCAAGCTCCAAAACTCCAAATTTCACATTCAAATGGTAGAATCATTGAGGTCTATAACTACTCTATCATACCATTAATCACTCAATCTTCCACATTGCTCTACGTGTTGGGTTTTTTACATGCACTAAAGGTTTCTCATAAATTCACAATTTACACCAATTTACCACAATTCACAACAATCATAAGACAATTATTAATCATAGAGCATAAAAGAATCAAGTAAACACACAATCACTCAAGGTATAAGTGAAATTCTGGGGTTCCCAAGGTTCCCACACAAAGCACATAATACAAATAATAAAATTGGAAGTCAATCCTATTACCTAACAAATACCACACACTCTAGAACGAGATTATTCACTCCTTCTTTACCTTGATATATAAATGCTAGACAAAGGAAATGAGTTTTTTGGGTGATCTCCTATTGCCTCTACGTTCTCTTTGAGCGGTTCTTGATTTAGAGAAAAGGAAGCACAAGATGAAAAGAGTGTAAAAACCAATCAACTTCTTAAAAATCCTTTCAAAACCCAATTCCCCATATTTAAGTAAAAGATACAATTATATTATGAGTCTATTTGAATACAAGCTTAAGCTTAGAAGTGTTTTGAAGACTTTTTCTATTAAAAATACTCTTTATTTTTAGTAAAGAAGCTCTAAAAAACATCTCTAACTTATATCCAAACACTTTGACATTTATAAATAAAATTCATCCCTCAAATAACACTTATTATATTTTCCAAAGCCTCTCTTAACTACCACACTTAATATTTCAAGAGCACCAATATTTATTGAAAATATTATTTTATTAAACCAATTTTATTAATTAAAACATCCTTTAATAATTTTATGAAAACATCCTTATTTTCTACTAATATATATAATAAAGAAAATAAATATAATATAATATAATTATAATATATTTTATAAATTCTTAAATATATTTTATCTAAAAATTAAAATAAACATGTTTTGATTTTAATTCCCATAAATAAATTATTTATTTTTATCCTTCTAAATTTGACACTATTGATTTTAGTTCCTACTATTATATGATATTTTTTAACTACTTTGTATATTTATCTAAAGATAAAGTGACCATATAGCAATTTGTACTCATAAATGTATGTGATATCATGTATGTATGGGTCACTTCTTAAATTTTTATAGATCTTTGAAAAGAAATATTATTTGTCTACTTTAAAATGATCATAGGTGATATATAAAAATAATAACTTTAAATTTTAAGGAATGAAAATTAAATAAAATTTAAATCCTAAATCCTAAATATGTATATTCATTTAACAAAAAAATAAAAAACATATTTAAACCAATTTAACTATTTAAAATAATTAATTTTTAAATTATAATTATATATATATATATATAGTGTAGTTGTTAAAATACTATATACTATGTTAAATTTGTTATGATTTAAGTACATGAGGAGAAACTAATTCTGAAGACTAATCAATTAAGTGTTAAAGTCTGATGGCATAGGTATAACATTAAATTTCTTTTCGTACTCAATACTGGACTCCTAAAAAAATTTCTAAATCCCCTTTGAATGAAAAGTAGCAGCATTTTTTTCTTCTTGCCACGTTGGCACATTTGTATTCTTTCTTTCGTTATTGTTGCACCTGTAGTCTTCTTGTTTTGTCTTCTTATTTTGTTTCTACTTAAATTTTTGTTCTGTTATCTTAATAACGTACGTCGATCTATCACTTCCTGCATGCTACTTTGTTTTACTTCAGTACAGCAAAACCAGTGTCTCAGTGTATCCTATGAACCATTCCTAAAGAAATTATTACTCGCGGTACTAGTACTACCACGTGATTATGTGAATCTCCCATCTTTAGTTCTACCCTTTTTTTTTTCTTTTTTTTTTTAAATAACTATGAAAATATGTTTATTTTTAATTTAAAAAAATATTTTATTTTAAATATTTTCAAAAGAAGCCCAAAAAATTAAAAATGAAAAAAAAAATGTTATTTTCACTATTCTCTACACTTTTGAAAATACGATGACATTTGATAATAATTATTAAAAAAAAATTTACAAACTACCAAGTTTGCAACCTTGTAGAGATAATTCAATAAACTTTTAATTTTTCTTATACATGTAATTCAATTATTTGTCTTATATATTTTCTTTTATGTGCAGAAATTTTCTTTATTAGTACTTACATATGTATTATATATTAATATTTTAAAATTTATTAGATATAATTATTTTAAAAAAAATTAACTACATGTGTTTTTTATATTATTAAGATGTGTATGTTAACGATGATGATATAATAATAATGATGATATAATAATGATAATAATAATAATAATAATAATAATAATAATAATAATAATAATAATAATAATAATAATAATAATAATAATAATGGTAATAATAATAATAATAATAATTTAAAAATCTTTAAATATAGAACAAATTTAATATTATAAATTTACTAAACATATATGTTGTTAATTAGTAGATAATTAATTAGAATAGTAGTTATTCTGTTTATGAATATTGAAGCATATTTCTAGCATAATCCCTTGATTTTAGGGGTTATATGGTTATTTATCAACTATCAAATATATTGATAATCATAATTATCAATAATATTAGAGTTTTTGAGATATTATATATCAATTAAGTTTGGTTGTGTCAACTTTATTTTCTAGACAATATGTAGGAGTACTCACGTGTTAACCCTCTTGAAGACCAAGTCAATTGCCGTTCAGCATTCCTATCCATGTGTTGTTATCCTTGTTGAAGTTGTTATCATATCTGTTGTTATCTCTTCCTTTTATTTAGGCTTCAGTTATTATCAATTCAAATGTATCGTTGATACAAATGTATATAAAAGCCCACAGCATGAATAGAAAAGTATCACGTTAAAATAATACTATATAGTTTTCCCTTTTCCTATACAATACAGAAGTCTCCAAGCTCTAAGTTTTGAAAAGGAAAAGGAACTTAAAATATTATAAACTGAGCTTAATTAATTTGGTTATGATTTATTTTGAGATTTAAATTTGATCTTGACATTTCTTATGTTAAGTCTAATATATTAACTTTAACAACTCAAGTTTAGATTTAGGCTTACACACAACCTTTAGTTATAAGCTTGGACTCATGTTATTAAAATGAGTTTGAATTCTTCTTTTAGATGATAAACTTATATTAAACTTTTAGAAATAGGCTCAGAGACTTCACAATTATAAAGTAGTTAGGCTTGGACTCATCCTTTAAATAATTTAAGCTTAATCTAGGCTTAATAAATGAGTAGGTTCAGACTTAGCCTTTAAAAAATTTAAGCTCATACTCAACTTAATAAGTAGGTTTAGATTCAACCTTTAAAGAACTTGAGCTCGAACTTGACTTAATAAATGTGTAGGCTAAGACTTAGCCTTAAAAGAATTTATGTTCAGACTTGGCTTAATAAACATGTATGTTTGAATTTGACCTTTAAAGAACTTAAGTTAAACTTGACTTAATAAATATGTTGGCTCTGACTCAGCTTAATAAATATGTAGGTTTGGATTAGACTTTTAAAGAACTTAAGCTCAAACTCAACAATTAATAAATGTATAGGCTCAAACTCAATCTTTAAAGAATTTAAGCTCGAACTTAGCTTAATAAACATTCGATGAAGAAAATAAACCTAATGTATTGCTTATCACAAGGAGAAGATAAATTATGAGAATTCTAATGGAGTCACACTCTAAATAAATTAAAGGACTCAAGACCTTTGAAAGGGAGAGATAAATCTAAAAAATTCTCAATGTATTAATCACCAAAAGTGATTACAATGTGTGGGAGAAAGTATTATATGGAGTTAGTTAGCTAGTGGTACAAACTAAACCAACCCATGGTTTAGTAGACCATGGTTAGGTTAGCTTGTGAGACAAGCTAACTTAACTCTAGTTAGGCATGGATTTTTGATGTCCAACTATTAGTCCCACATTCCCTCAATAAGTCTATATACATTAGACATGAGAGGTGTACGTAGCTAGTCATGGAGGTGTGACTAACTAGGGGTGTGAAGTGGAAAAAATAGGTGAACTAAAAGCTACATGGAAGGTGTGACTAGGCATGCAAGTGTGACTAG